CTCTCCTTGGGAATTTGGGAACTGCCAAGCCAGTGCAAGGCCAGAGAGCATCTCTCACTGTCTTCTTTCCTTTGCCTCTCAAAGCTTCCCCAACAAGCAGAAATCAGCCGAGCCTTCACCAACCATAATGAGCACCTCCCTGGGCAGCAACCTTTCAGAGCTCGACCGCCTGCTGCTGGAACTGAATGCCGTGCAGCATAACTCGCCAGGCTTCCCTGCAGGTAGGACCAGCTCCCTGGGCCAGGGTCTGCCGGGCCCCATGGCCCACCTGCTGACCTCTGGATCCCAGGAGGGCTCAAGAGCTGAGCAGTCTTTTTCTTTCTCTCTGCAAGATGAGGCCAACTCAAACCCCCCACTTCCTGGGGCCCTGAGCCCCCACTATGGTGTCCCAGAGAATAACAGCCCCCTGGGGGGCAAAGCTGGGCCCCTGACGAAAGAGAAGCCTAAGCGGAATGGGGGCCGGGGCCTGGAGGACGTGCGGCCCAGTGTGGAGAGTCTCTTGGATGAACTGGAGAGCTCCGTGCCCAGCCCTGTGTGAGTACCCACTAGGCTCTCCCTGGGCAGGGAAGGGCTGGCCCAGCCCACCCCGGGTCCAATGTCTGCCCTCTTGGCCCTGGCATCACCCATTCCCTCCAGTGTCTGCCGTCTGCCAGGCACTTGTGGATACCATCCCTGCCTTCAGCCAGTCACTACCAGTCAGAAAGGACAGATGCTATACATGCCAAGAGCACCTGGAGTTTAGCAGCTCTTAGCACAGGCTTTGGGGCCACACAGTAGGGCTTGCATCTTGGCTCTGACAGTTCCTGTCAGCTCTCAAGCCTCAGATTTCCCATCTGTAAAATGGGACAAGGGCTCATGGGATCGCTGCAATAAGACTACCTACCTGAATAAGGGTAAGAACCAATCATCCACCTAAAGTGCTTGGAATGGTTTTTGGCTCGCAGTACATGACACACTTGGTGAGTGGTATGCATGCGAGCTCATATCAGTGCTGCTGTGTTCCTGCAGGAGCCTCGCCTCCACGTCCAGGGTTGTGGAGGAAACACACAGAGCGCCTGAGCTTGTTTCACAGGCCAGCTTTCAGTTGGGCTGGGGGCCAGAGGCGTCTTGCTGGCACTTCCTAGTGCCATCGAACTGCCCTTTCTTCTCACTCAGTGAAGGGTCCCTAGGGAGTCAGTGGGCCTCCCTGGGGTTGGGGATGGTGGGACCCCAGTGTCCAAGCTGAGATGTCAATTTGATCCCCGGGAATTGTGGGGCTGACTGTGGGCTCCCCACCCATGCTGTGCCACCCTGCAGCCCTGCCATCACTGTGAACCAGGGCGAGATGAGCAGCCCGCAGCGCGTCACCTCCAGCCAGCAGCAGACACGAATCTCGGCCTCCTCGGCCACCAGGGAGCTGGACGAGCTGATGGCTTCGCTGTCGGATTTCAAGGTGCCCTGCAAACCCTCCATCATCCCTGCCCTGCCACCCCTCCCTCAGCCTTCTCCTCCCTTACCTCAGTGTGAGTGGCTGGACCTTGGCCCCTCAGTGTTTGGGTGCCTTGCCCCTGACCCAGGGACCCTGTCATGTCCTGGCCTTGCCGTGATGCCAAGAGGCAGGGAGGGCCAGGGAGGGCTGGGACAGCCTGCCTGAGGATTGCAGTAGCCAGTGAAGGCAGAGAAGTGCTCAGCTGGGACATTCCTTCCTCCCCGGGTGTTCCCAGCCACTCAGGTCGAGAGGATCAGGAGGCTGAGACACTGGGACAAAGAACCTTGTGTTGATGGCTGCTCTTGGTGGGGGAGGGCGTTCTCTGCTGGGCCATGTGGGACTTGGGAGCCCGTGCCTGAGAGGTCATTTGCCCTGGAGCCCCATCTCCCACGCTATGTCCCTCCTTAAAACATCCTCTTTCTTTCTGCCTGTGCTCCTGAATCCACACGCCTCCCTCAATACCCTTCTCCCATCCTTCTCCCTTGCCCTCCAGGGCCTCTGAGTTCCCACAAGCTCTGTCTGTGGGAAACCATGGGGCCAGTCTTCCACGAGTTGCCCTTCCCATTCCCTCCCCTGCCGGGCCTCCCCAGTCCTGCCAGGCCTGAGATGTTTAATTTACAGGATACAGGGTTTCCATGGGGATTGATACTGACAGAACTCACCAGCAGTTGCTGACTTCACACTTCCACGTGGGTCAGCTGGAGACCTTTGGGGCATGACCTAGGGAATATGAGATGGAGAGTGAAGGGTCCCTGCACCCTTGGGCCCGATGGTGCCTCCTTGACTCCCTCCAGCTGGGGTTTCATGGTGGGAGATGAGAGTGTGGCTGGGGTGGAGGGATGAGCCTGGGCCTGTGACCCTTGCGTGCTGTAGCTCCAGCTCCAGGCCAGTGGTTCCAAGCAGCCATGGTCAGAAGCCAGTAAGTTGGATTCAGGGCCTGGCCTAAGGGAGCTGCGCCCCGGTGCTTGTAAGGCTGTTGCTTTCTCAGACAGCCTGTGCCCTGATACCAGAAGAGGCAGCACTGGTTTTAGTCAGATCCCTGGAGCTAGGACTTGGGGTATAGGAAAGCTGGGATTGTCTAGGAGGACGTGGCTGAGTTGGGCCGGCGTCCGAGGAGGGCTCAGCAGCCCCCTGGGGCTGGTTCTCTCTCCATCTGTGCCTGACTGTCTTCCCTAGTCACCTGGCTCCCCATTTGTCTGCCACACCTTGGTCTTTTCTTCCTTGTGTCCTGCCTGGGTGGCCCCACAGACCTGGCTCAGTGGCTGCCTTCTCGTGCTTAGGTTTGATGAAGGCTAAATGCGTAAAGCCCAGGGAAGTCTTTTTGGGATCTGGGTCTCCTTCAAGGGCCAGTCCTGTGCGTCAGCTTTGCAGCCACCTTGGTCGATGTGGAAGGTGGCCCTCAGAGCCCTAAGGCCGAACACACTGCCTGCAGGGCGCAGCCTTCCTCACCCTCCCCATCTCTCTCTCTTTCCCCTCTGCCTTTCTCTTTTCCTCCTTCAGACCAGCTCCTCCACAGTGGCTCTCAGCACCCCGGGGCTGCTGCCCAGCTCTGCTCCGTCCGCACACGGCTCCCTTCCATCTTCTCCTTCTCCTCCTCCTCCCATGCCATCTGTATTCCTGCCACCCACCACTAAACCCTCCCCTCGAGGCCAGGGCCACACTCCGGAGTCCCCTTGTACTGAGCAGAGTGGACGAGGCCTTCTACCTCCTGTGGCCCCCAGCTGGCTTGATTTGGCTGGTCTTGGGGTGAAGCCTGACACCCTCAACTCAAGGTCTCCCTCTGTGGAGGGTTCTCTGGGGCCAGTAGGCACAAAGAGCCAGGGCCGAGATTGGAGGCACCTGCCTAATCTCACAAGTGAGCTCTCTGGGGCTCCTCGCTGCCACACTGTACCCCTTCCTGGGAGCACAGGTGCCCAGGAGCCTGGGGAGCCCCAGAGGCCACCAGCTAGCCCTTCATGCTCAGAGGAGTCCGTGACTGCCACATGGGAGGAGCCATGGGCTTCGGAGGTATTCAAGCCTGAGAGAATCCCCCCATGTGGAGCTGCTCGAAGCTTCCAAGAAGTAGCAGAGCCAGCTGTTGTGGCAGTGGACCGGCAGGCCATCTTCCCAGAGACCTGGACTCTTACAGAGGAACACAGCCTACAGCAGGAGGGGCCAAGGCCAGAGTCAGAGAGGCTGCGAAGCAGCTGCCCTGCCCCAGTTACCAGGGAGCAGCTAGGTGGAAAGATGCCCGAGAAGGGAAGCGTGGCCAGGCCCACCCAGGGACCTGAGACCCAAAGGAGCCCAGAGGGTGCCACTGAAGCTGCCACTCAGGCCGGGAAGGAACAGCCAGAGCTTCTGTGTGCCACGGCCACAGGCACACCCAGCGCCACAGAGAGGATTTCCACCTCTGGCCAGGCAGGCGCCAGCTAGCATGGCTGCTGGGCATGGCCCTTGGCGGGTCTGAGTGTGGCCGCTCCTCGATAACTGCATGCAGCCTCCCACTCTGCGCGTGTCTGCTCTGCTTGGGCAGAAAATGCTGACGCCGTGGCCTGACCTGACAATCAGCTACTTGGCAGTGGCCTCTGTGGACCCGGCATTTCTCATAGCATCAACCCGCCTCTTGCTATGTTAAGGCTTTTTCCTTTCAGATAAGCTGGCCTCATCTGAAATGGTTTAGAAGCATGGACTTTGGAACCAGGTAGACCTAGATACAAACCACACCTCTAACACCTGCTACCTCTGTAACCTTGGGCAACCCTTCCCCGAGCCTCAGTTTTCTCATCTGTAAAATGGAGAGAATAATAGGCCATTTCCATTAGGGTTGTCCAGAGATCTAAATGAGATAGTTCCTGGAAAGTATTTAGAACACAACATGTGGTCCCTCAATAGGCCATAGCTGACAGTACTTTTATTATTTGCTTTTTTTTTTTAAAGACAGGGTTTCACTGTGCAGATCAGGCTGGTCTCGAACTCCTGACCTCAGGTGATCTGCCCACCTCA